TGTGAGGGACATGAATCTTATACTTGCTCTTAAACATGACTGTCATAAAGCATTAAGCATACTGACAGATCAGGTGAGAGTTTACGAAGGTAAAATTCAAAAGTTATGAGACTCGATGTGCATTCAAATTCCAAAAAGCTAGATTCGTGCTGTTCAGAAGATGGTTCTATAAGATCGGACTGAAGAACAGCCTATTAATGTAAAGAAGAAGGAAATTAATGATTTTTGAGGTATGGTGTGGAACTCAGGGGTATAAAAGGATAATGATGTCCGGCACAACGAATATGTGGAAGAATTCGTTCCAGATCATGAAGTGCATGCATGATACCTTCTCCTGCTGAAGTCGAATTTGGGAGTATATCTTCTCAAGTGAAAGGCAGCGGATCCTGATGGAGTGTTTAAATTCTGCACTAAAAAGTGTACCACCTTACATCCAGTTTTCTACAAAATAACAAAGGGGATTTGTTTGGATGAGGAGGAACGAGACCCATCGTTCTACAGAGAGATCCCGAGAGATGTCTCAAATAAACGTAGCGACTTCAACCCGATAACCTGTATGTCGAAACTCTACAAGTTGACAACGAAATGTGTAACACGTGTCATGCAATTGGATGTTGCCATGAGAAGGCTACTTGCAGAGAACAGATTAGGAAGTGTTATCCAAGTTCAAGTTAAAAAGGAACAGACCCTGATGAACCCAGTGCTCTGCAAAGAGCACGAGAACCAGCTTTCTGCTAGGTGGTATATAACACGTTAAAAAAGCGTTCGATTCATTTTGTCACAGCTACTTGATTAAGTGAATTGAAAGGTTCAAAATGCCAGCAGGGATCGAGAGGTTTCTGAAAACCATTACCTTCAGATGGTTAGCTACACTGGAAAGGAATGAAAAAAGAATACAATGTAGAATCCTCCAAGGTGACAGCCTTTCCTCGCTGCTATTCGTTTCATGCATTGACCTGTTGTGCCGTGGAATCAATATCAGATATCGAAAGGTAGCGGTTGTCATTGATCAAGGAATGTATGTCACGAACCATTTATTGTGGATGATCTCAAGTTTTCTGCAACTGACGAAAATATCACAAAAGCTAAGAAGTACAGAGGTTTTTTGAAATCGTAGGGTCAGAGGTGAATACAACGCAGTCAATCACTACCACCGAGGTAGGCGCTAATTAAACTGCGCTCTTGGAAAGAACTCAAGGGTATAAATACCTCGGCATAATGGAGGACAGGACTAATATTCAGACTTGAGACAGCTACGATAAAGTGCGAGCAAAGATTTTTTGGCGAGAATTTAGTGACTAACCAAAACTGCTTTAAGCGGCAAGAACTTCATCAAGGCAGTAAATGAACGCGTCATAAGTTTAATAAACTATTATTTTGAGGTCTTCAACGTAGCCATCATAAGACTTAAAAGCTATAGACGATATCAGACAGTTACTGGATAAATACAAAATTCATAGCGAACTTGCATGTTTGGAGAGACTCTACTTGCCAAGGGACGAGCTAGGACGTGTACTCCATAATGCTGAGCAGAGAAATCAGCTTATGCTTCCTAGCTTCATAGTCGAGTAGAGAAAAGGCAGAATTATGACATACTCTAATTAACTCGGGTTAGAGAATGAATCAGAACGAAAATAATGCCTTTGTAATGATTTGGGATAAGATGGTAACGAACTTTCACAAACACTGCGCGACGGAAATTTTACCACGTTGTGACATATATCTAAACAGTAGTGCTCAAGAAAGCGCTTAAAAACTTTTCCGATCTTTGCAGTGGACTAAACTGAGTTGAAGCAACGGAGTTCAGCACTGCAGATGGATATTTTGGTACTCTAAGCGATGTACTATATATTATGAAAGAAGTCTAACCCTGCAAAAGTAGTGTCATTAAATGTATTCTATTCATTATTTCAAAAGCATTGGAATTTGAAAAAGAATTTATTTATAGGACAGCCGAGAACGCCTCGAAGAAGCACTGTTAGCCATTGGTTGGCCAATGTTGCAAGTGGGTATCTCGACGGTTCTAGCATTGCTACCTCTACTCATGAAACAATCGTACTTGTCCATGGTTTTTTTGAAAACCGTTACTATCACTACATGTTTGGGTATTTTCCATGCTTTCGTAGTGCTTCCAGCTCTGCTTACTACTATTGATTTTTATTTGCAAGGTAAAGAGATACTTGATTTAACTAATTTAGGTATTCATATTAAAATTGCTAAATTTGTACTTGGTAGCAATATTTTACACAAATAAAATTCTTCTATTGTGAGAAGGCCCAAATGATGGTAAATTTATCACTAATTTTTCTTTTTAATTTCGAAATCCCAATCGAAATGTATTAGTAATTAAGGGTATTCCTCACATCGATCACATGAACGTAAGAAGAATTATTACAAATCACAGCAAATTATGACAAAACCCAAAAATGAGGTAAATGCAAGTCATTAAAATTACGTTGTAAAGTAACTGATTACAACTTCAATTTTTTAGTGCAGGTTCAACTTCTCACTTATCCAAGTTATTAGGCTTGAAAATGTTGCTGCTTATGGGTTGACTACATTGTCTCAAGGAAAATTCGTCTGAGACATTGCGAATCAAAGTAAAAGGGAAACAAATACCACGAGAAGAGAAGTGTATACAGATGCACAAGTATTTATGAATTAATATTTGTATAGAATATTTTCAGGGGGATAAAACCTGGTACGAGCCAAAAGAAATTCCAACAAGTTACGAAGTTAAAGAGCAGAAAAAAGTAAAAGTAGTGCCAATATCAAAAGTAGATATGCGGCATGCCACTCCTCCACTGGCATATATTCATAACATTGAACTTGATGGAACTTTATCAGGAATTTTTCAACAGTGCTGATTCATAACCACCATCTGACCATGCTCTTGTTAGTTCATAGAATTCTAGATCGCATACAACTCTCATCATGGCCTGAATAGTCTCCCTACTTCTGCCATTTTTCCAAGTTCTAGCGGAAATCTCAATAAAATCTAGTTTTTAAATTTAAAACTCAAATAATGATGGGGTTCCTCTAAATTCGCAACATTTACAACGAATGATTTTTTTAATCCACTAACCTGTGTTGCTTGGTGTAAATCTAAATTTCCCCTTAACAAGAGTTTTGCGTTTATATTAAATGATATTTTGTTAGTGCTGTATCAAGATTCTGATAGAACCTGAAATTTTATCTTCGGAACTTTGGAATAAAGCCATTCTAAATACTGATATTACTTCCAAAATGCTATCGTACATTAAGCAATCAAATACACAAGATGAGCCAGAAAAAAATGCGAATATACACAGTATTTCTTTGAGATTTTTGCTGTAGTAAAGCTTGCATGTATTTCTATTACACGGCTTACTGTGTACAGATATTTGTTTATATTTTTTATTAAAGCACAGGTTTTTAATAGTCGTAATTTCATTTTGATTTTGATGTATATTAAAATGAAAGTACAACTATTCAAAAAAAGAGAAATTAAATACCAAATAAAAGTAACTCTATAACCTAATTATTGAATCTTTCGAATCCATGAACATTTTGGTAACTTATTTCCTTATAATTAAGACACCTTTGATTTTTTTAGCTCAAAAATTCTTAAAATACTGTGTATACTGGTTAAGATTAAGAAACATCTAGATTGACAACAGTTCTCTTCGAAACTTAAAGAAATTCGTGCTTACATGTTATTTTTGCTTCTGCAGTTCATGCTCTGGTAAATTCAAGTAGCAGCAAAATACAATAATGAAAACCACACTTCAATATATACTAGCAGTCTGAACAGTAGAATGAAATCACCATAAAATCTGAAATGATCAATCTATCAACTGCCCTCCTTGTTAATATTTGTATGCAGCTCACATAAAATTTTATCGCATGACTCCACTTCTATCTTCTCCAATTTGCTAATTTCGATACTCACTCTGATCAGTCACGATTATATTTGCGATATCAATAACGAGATAATATATTTGGCACTATGCGTCAGTTAGTAATGATACAGAAAATGAGCAGTACACTGTCTCAAGAGCTATTGCTTTCCACATACTGCTTTACACAGCACTGGTAATAATGTTGCACAAACATCTTGAATCCTTACAATCATTACATAAAAGGAGATCTTAGAATAATAATTTCATACAAAAAGTGATCGCAGAACAATAATGTCATGAAATTGCTGAGATACATTCTTTAGCAGCCAAAGATTTGTTTGCAATTTATTTGCAAAAAGATTTTATATAACACAATCAGCACGCAGGAAGTATATAATTTCATTCTATTCCACACTAGAAATAGAGAAAAGGATCACTGAATAGTTTGGAACAGTGACACTGAAGTCGGGATCCTAACACCGTAAACAACAGTCAGACCTGCAGACTCTATTGACGGAAGATTAACTAAAAAATGAACCAAAGAGTTATTACCTTTAGTCTTTAATTCACACAATTTGCATATGTTTAGATAATTTAATAGCAAGGTTGAGATATAGCATTCCAAATTAGCACCTATGAACAAAAATTATGTGAACTTCCTACCACACTTACAAGATGAAAGGTTCAGAATCTAGATTACAGTCATTGGGAATGCATGTTCACTATATAAGCGACTTCTCTTGCCGGTAATTCCTGAACATTATTGAGACCACTACCAAGAAGATGAACAATCACAGCCTTGACCACAGATCATTATGTTGTTTACATTTTGTTTAGTTTTCGTTAAGTGTAGCATGCAACATCTATGCTACAGATAAATTAAATGATGATTTGCAGTTTGTACGCGTACATATATA